CTTTTGGACCCTGCATTGAAGAGGAGCTGGTGGCCTGAGCATCCCCCCAAGGAATCATATGTAGACCCTATAGCAAGGTGAGACCATGGCCCGGGAACTCTAGCATGGATGGAATGGGGACCATGCAGCCAGGGGGTCAATGCAACAAGAACTCACCCCTGGGTCAGAGAAGGAGTGCATAGCAAGGAGTGTGCTGAACTAGGCAACCTGCATGAGATACCTATGGTCCTTGCAGCAAGGGGAGAAATGGACACTCTACTGATCCCTGGTGAACATCACCTGGGTTTCTGTGTCTAGTTCTGGGCTCACCAGTAGACATGGAGCTCCTGGAGCAAGTCGTGGTGCCTGGGAGCAGTTCCGGTAGGCTGGGAGTGAGCTCATGCCCCTCATATTGTGAAGATCAAAAGGTACATTCTCAGAAAGCAGAGGCTGTTGAGCCTGACCTCATTCCCACAGAAGGCGATGGAAGAAACCTTCCTGGAGAGCAGTGCCATGCCCAGCAAGGTCAGGGTGACAGGCTGTGGTTTAGGTGCGGATTTTGAGAGTGGAAATTGTCCTTGACCAACCTCTGTGTCTTCTCTGTTGAAGCCACTGGGTGTTGGCAGAGGTTAGAGCAGTGTCTATTGCTGAGCTGTCCTTGAAGGAAGCCTTTGTCACTGTCTCCCATTACACACTACTAGGAAGCAGAGAAAGTCTGGTTGTGAAAGAGCCCTGTGAGGAGGACTGCAAAGTGGCTGAAGGGCTGGCCCCAGAGGCTTGTGGTCAGTGGCAAGACAAAAGGCTGTGGGCACAAGGGAAAAAAAGGTGAAATTCCATGGGCAAAGAAGGAAATCCTTTTTCAGTGTAAGGAAAGTCAATGAGTGGAAGAGGTTGTGAAGTCTCCAAGGTGGAAGCTACTGACAACCCAGCTGTCCATGTCTAAGACAAGCTGCTGTAGTTGGACACCCTAGCTACTAACTCTAACTTGAGTTAGTCAAGGTATGCGGAGGGGAGCGTTACCACGTCAAATCATTTCTTTGAGCCAGTGGATGGGCATGTGGCTTTTGATGGGTAAAGGTGTAAGAGCCTTGGTAAAAGAAAGGAAGAGGAGGCTTTTCAGGATGGGATGCAGGAGGACTTTATTGAGGAAAAAGGGTTGAGAAGTCAGAATCACCAAGTGGAAGACAGAGGATCTGATATGCAAGTAGAGTGACCATCTGTCAAGGTCTTCTGCTTGCAGAAGACTATGACAGAGTATCAAGGCCTTCCTACTTTGCAGAAGGAGCAGATCCCTGAAGATTCCCCCAGTGTTTTCTGCCCTTTGAGATGTTTTTAATAGCAGAAAGTACTGAACATCACCAAAGGAATGATGCACAGAAGGAAGTGTAAAAAGAGGAGGATCTATGCGATATGATGCAAAGAGGCTGGTCTGGCCCCAGCCCTGCTTCCTCTCCTGGTGCCTTGAGATTAGAAGCTGCTGTGGGCAGGTCCACTCATCAAAACCAGCAGAGACATGCATCTCCCGTCCATGTCTTTGCTTCTCGAATGTATGTGAGTGGTTTCAGGCATCTTGTGAGGGCCCTTAGCAGATGTTGTATCCCCTTCCTCTGCCATAGCAGCCCAGGCCTCCGAAGCCGTAGCCAAGGCCGTAGCCGAAGCCCCCAGAGGAGACGGGCACTCCCTGGGCGCTGAGGACGTTGCCCACGGCAGCGGATGAGGAGGATCCGACGGCGGTGCTCTGGGGGAAGGAGCTGAGGATGGGTCCTGGCAGGGTGACCAGCACGGCGGGAGGCTGGATGACGACGCGGGAGTCCTCGCACTGCCTGACACAGGGCTCGTTGCAGCTGTTGGCCAGCGGGGTGGGTCCGCAGGGGCGGCAGAGGTCGTAGCAGGCCATGTCTGTGGTGTGGAGGGGCCCTGGGAGACTAAAGGAGAGGAGAGAATGGAAGAGAGGGTGTGGGGAGAGCGGCGTGTGTGGGGGTGCAAGGGGCAGTGGTGCAGGAGGGAGAGGCAGTGGGGAGGCTGGTGTGGGGCTGTGGTGCTGGGGAGGCGTGAGGGGTGCTGAGGCTGGGGCAGAGCGTGCTGGAAGAGCTGGGGCAGGGGGGCAGGAGCAGAGGGCAAGGGGCTTGAGGCTCACCTTGTTGAGCGCGCAGGAGAAGGCGTCAGCAGAGGCGAGTGAGGGACAGAGGCACTGGGCCGGCTTTTATGCTGGTCCTGCAGTGCCCGAGGGGGCTGAGACAGTCTTTGTGCATGACAGCATGTTTGTGCAAGCAGCTGGTGCATGTCAGATCCTTGCAGGTAATTAGTGTTGGTTGTGTTTTCCTTCCAAGAATTCTGCAATTTCATGTCCTCCTCTTGAGGACGTGTCCTTCTGGTCCTGGCGGCAGCTTTCTAGTGGGAGTTTGACAGGTCAAAAGCTTGGTGTTGATGGTGTGTGTCAGATTGTGCAAAACATGGAAACCGAGCTTTGGAGAGGTGGGGTGGCATCAGTGATGTCATCTCTTGGCATTCGTGTGGTGTGGTTTGCGGATGCGTTGTGATGAGGAGCCCCAAGTCGTGGCAGCCCTGTCAGGCTGGTGTGGGCTTTGGAGATGTGCTGGCCGTGTGGGGCTGCTCCTTCCATCAGATTTGGTCCCTCTCCACATTGCTGCCTGGTCTCTAAGCCTGTCTGTAGGCCTGTCCTTTCCTGTTGGTTGAGCTCTCTGGGTGTCTTGGTGCCCTTTGTGCTCAAAGGTTGTCCCTTGGAGTGGTGTGTTTCTGTGGAAAGTGTTATGTAGGCATAGGGTTGTCAATGTGGCTTTATGAGAAGAGGTCTGAAACTTCCCCCATGTCTGGTAGAGCCTGTTGGGATTATCTGTTCCATAAGTTAAGGGAGGACCATTTCCCATTAAGGGACCCCGGGATGAAGCACAAGAAGAGTGTGAGAAGGAAAGAGGAGAAGCGACAATATCTGTTCAACTGATCACAATCCCCAATTCCTCATCCCTTTGTGCTATTTTGGGCAAGGGAATATGTACTTCAGGAGGGAAGTTGAACCTAAAGAAGGGAGGGAGAGGGGGAAGGTGTTTTCAGATTTGTTTTCATTTCTCAGAATTCTACTGACTTTTGATTTTGATAACTTAATTTCCCTGAGTCAGGGGTGTTTTGTCGCCATCGAAAACCTAAGAGTGTTCTCCATGTCCTTATTTTGACTCTGGAGCCTTTTGTCATATACTCTTCCTCTCATCCAGTTAAGGAAAAGGAGTGATAGAGCAGCTCAGAGAGCACTTGGTGCCCTGCCAAGGTCAACACCACAGAGAGCCCCATCTTCACAGCAGGGCTGGGTCACAGGCTTGGTCCTGCACTTGTCCCAGTGCCCCCTGCAGGGCCTCTGTAGGCCAAGGTGAGGAGCATTGTGACCTCACAGTGGGGACTGTCGGTATGACCTCAGAGCAGAATCATGGTAAGTTTGGGTCGCCTGCAGAGGTGGTCCAGACATCCTGCAGCAGGGAGGACGTTGGTCAGGAGATCCCCTGTGTGGGTTACTGTTGGGTCGTGCAGTGAAGAGGGGCTGGTGGCTGCAGAACCTCCAAGGCATCATTTGTGGATCCTATAGCAAGGTGAGACCATGGCCTGGGAGCGCTGGTATGTTTGGAATGGGGACCAATCAGCCAGGTGGTCAGTGCAACACCAACCCCACACCTGGATCAGGGAAGGACTGCATGAAAAGGAGGGTGGTGACCCGGACACCCTGCATGGGATACTCATGGTCTTCCTAGCAAGAGAAGGAATGGATATTCTTCTGGTCCCTGGTGAGGCATCACCTGGAGTTCTGTGTCCAGTTTTGGGTTCCTCAGTGGAAGAGATACATGGAGGTGCATAAGAAACCTTCCTGGAAAGCAGTGCTATGACCAGCAAGGTCAAGGTGATGGGCTGTGGTTTTAGATGTGGATTTTGAGAGGGTAAATTGTGCTTGACCGACCTCTGTCTTCTCTGTTGAAGCTAGTGGGATTTGGAGAGAGGCTGAGCAGTGTCTGTTGTTGAGCTGTACTTGAAAGAAACCTTTTGTCACTGTCTCCCATTACACGTTCCTAGAGAATTGGAGAAAGCCTGGGCTGTGTAAGGGCCGAGTGAGGAGGGCTGCAAAGTGGCTGAAGGGCTGAGCCCAGAGGCTTGTGATCAGGCCGTGGCCAGAAGGGAAAACAGATGGAATTCCATGGGCAAAGAAGGAATTGCCAAATTTGCATTGGCCTTTTTCCATGTGAGGATGGTCAATTGGTGGAAGAGGTTGTGGGGTCTCCTGGTGGCATCTACTGAAAACCCAACTGGGCATGTTTAGGACAAGCTGCTATAACTGGCCCTGCTGCGTCAGAGGGGGTGAAGCAGCTGCTCTCTGAAGGTTTCTGCCACACTGAATGGTTGTGTGATTCTGTTTGCTGGGAGGGCTGGAGAGCCATGCTGGGGAGGAGAGTTGGTCAAGTGTGTGGTGGCACAGGGGCACTTCATCAGAGGCACGCACAGGGGGGCGTTACCAAATGAATTGTTTGAGCCAGTGATGGGCTTGTGTCACATTCTGGAAGACCTCCACATGTCAGCCTGTGTTGTTGCTGGTTGTGGTGGCATATTTGATGCCTGAGACCTCGAGGTCCTTATCCAACCCCCAATGGCCTGGCTTTGTGCTGTGTGAAGTTGGAAGAGCCTTGGTAGAAATAAGGAGGAGGAAAAGTCACAGTCTGGGATGCAGAAGAACTTTATTGAGGCAAAAGAATGAAGATATAAAAGCATAAGGTGGTAGAGAGCTGGTCTAGGGTGTGAGTAGGATGACCATTCACTGAGGTTCTCTGTTTGAAGGATATGTTGTCAGAGCACTGAGGTCTTCCTGTCCTGAACTGGGAGGAGCCCACTAAAGGTCCCCATAATCTTTCTTAGCTTGTGAGATGCTGGTTGTGACAGAGAGTACCTGACATAGCAGATGGAGTGATGAGGAGAAGGAATTGGAGGAAAAGGAGGGTGGCTGGTTTCATGCGTGTTGTCAATGGCCCTTAGCAGATGTTGCAGCCTCTTCCACCGCCGTAGCAGCCCAGGCCTCCAAAGCCGTAGTCCAGGCCTCCGAAGCCGTAGCCAAGGCCGTAGCCGAAGCCCCCAGAGGAGACGGGCACTCCCTGGGCGCTGAGGACGTTGCCCACGGCAGCGGATGAGGAGGATCCGACGGCGGTGCTCTGGGGGAAGGAGCTGAGGATGGGTCCTGGCAGGGTGACCAGCACGGTGGAAGGCTGGATGATGACGCGGGAGTCCTTGCACTGCCTGACACAGGGCTCGTTGCAGCTGTTGGCCAGCGGGGTGGGTCCGCAGGGGCGGCAGAGGTCGTAGCAGGCCATGTCTGTGGTGTGGAGGGGCCCTGGCAGAGGACTAGAGGAGTGAATGGAAGAGAGGGTGTGGGGAGAGCGGAGGGCGTGGGGGTGCGAGGGGCGGTGGTGCAGGAGGGTGAGGCAGTGGGGAGGCTGGTGTGGGGCTGTGGTGCTGGGGAGGTGTGAGGGGTGCTGAGGCTGGGGCAGAGCGTGCTGGAAGAGCCGGGGCAGGGGACAGGAACAGAGGGCAAGGGGCTTGAGGCTCACCTTGTTGAGCGCGCAGGAGAAGGCGTCAGCAGAGGCGAGTGAGGGACAGAGGCTCTGGGCTGGCTTTTATGCTGGTCCCCGAGGGGCGGGACAGCCCTTGCGCATGGCAGCATTTGTCAGCAAGCAGCTGGTGCGTGCCACAGCCTGGCAAGTCATGAGCTGGGGCGTGTTCTCCTTCCCACAGTGCTCCCTTTGCATGTCCTCCTGGTGAGGACGTGTCCATCTGGCCCTGGCGGCAGCTTTTAAGTGCAAATATTGAAGGCCAAAGTCTTGGTGTTGACGGCTCATTTCGTGGCACTTGGCAGAACATGCCACCAAAGCATTGGAGGTGTGGGTTTCTGTGAGTGAAGTCACCTCTTAGCACTTTTGTGCTGTGGTTTGTGGGTGCCTTGTGAAGAGGTTTCCCATGTCCTCGTAGCCGTGTCAGGGAGGGCAGTTTGCAACAGCAGGCTGTGCTCCTGGATGCTGTGCTTGAGATCTGGTTATTCCTGTGATGTGGGGAGCACTTCCAATCCGTCCAGAAGTTTGAGTTGGCCCAATTTTAGTGCTACCCTCTTTTACGAGTGGCACGTTTGCTGCCTGGCCTCTGGTTTGATGAAGTGCTTGATGTGGGGCATCTTGTAAGGAGACCACCTTTGTAAGGGTGTTCTACTTTGAAATGACGAGTTTTGTGGACAAGGAGAGTGCTGTTCTGTTGTTTACCTCAGTATTCCTGCAAAACCTTTGATGCTTTCTCCCCTTGCACGGTCATGGGGTGTGGGGTCACCTGTGTTTGTGGGCAGTTGGCTTGAGTGCTCTCTCAGCAGGTTTAGAGATGATGCAAAATGTGGAGAGAGACTGAGATGCTGGATGGTTGTGCCATGATGTAGAGGGAACGGGAGGTGCTGGAGGATGGGCAGATAGGAATCTCCTGAAGTTCAACAGGAAGATATGTAAAATTTTCCATGTAGGGAGGAATGGCTCCTGTTGTCAGAACGTACTAGAGCCTGAGATGCTGGAAAGCAGCTTTTTTGAGTAGAGCTTTGTGGGGCTGGTGGAGAACAAGCTCAGGATGGTGCAGCAATGCACCCTTGCAGCAAAACATGCCGAGATTCTACATCTCAGCATTGGGAATAGATTTGCTAGCAGATTGGTGTTGTGGGGGGTGGTTCTTGATCTCTTCAATGCTAGTGAGGCTTTGTGTGGAGGCCTAAGTCCAGTAGAAGTTTTCTCCCTAGAAGAAGGACACGGATGTGGTGGAGGCAGTCCAATACAGGACCACCAAGATGCTGTAGGGAGTGGAAGATCCTTGCTATGAGGAGAAGCTTAGAGAGGTGGGAGGGTTTTTTTCAGGTAGGAGGCAAGGCTGCCCAGGGCAGATGTCATCAATGTGTCTATATCCTGAGTGGGAGGAATTGAAGACAAGGGAGAGAGAATGTTCTCCTCCGTGCCATGTCCAGGGCATGGTGGGAGGTGTAAAGATGTGCCCTTTTCCCTGACAGAGAAGGCAACACGTTTTCGGTGTGATTGTGGTCAAGCAGTGGCAGTGGTTGTGCAGGGAGGTTTTGGATTCTCCATCCTTGGAGATACTGAAAACCTGACTGGGTATCTTTGACAGCGTGTTCTTTCTGAACATTCTTGAGGAGGCTGTCCCGAAAGAGATGATCCCCAGAGGTCCCTTGTGCACTAAATGGTTCTCTTTGCTATGATTCTGCTTGTTGTGATGCCCAGGTAGCTGTGCTTGGAAAGAGACTTGATGAAGTGTGTGCTGCCATGGGGAGCTTGGGTCAGAGGTGTGGGTAGAAGTGCATTAGCATTTCCAAGGTTTATGGCAAGGGAAGCGCTGGTGTCTGGGCTGGAAGCCCACAGGAGGGTTTTGCAGGGGATTTAACGCATTACTGTGTTCTGGGGGACCTTTTCCTCCAGCTTGATGGCCTATTGAGCCCTAGCTTGGTGCTGCTCGTGGTTGGTTGAGCCCTGGGTGAGGCTTGGATGCAGAAGTTTATTGATGAAGAAAATGGTGAAAAGGCAGGAGAGCCAAGGGAAACAGTGTAACGTAAAAGTAGGGCAACCATCAGCTGGGTCCCCTGTGTGTAGCAGGTGTTGCCAGAATCCTGAGGTTTTTGTGTCCCACAGAGGGAGCAGTGCACTTGGGATTTCCAGTGTGGTTTAGGGTGTGAGATAGTGTTTGAAGTGGACTAGATCAGAATGAGAAGTGCAGAGAAGGAATTTGGAGAGTAGGTATCTCACCCTGCATCCAGGGGTGGAATGGACACTCTACTAATCCCTGGTGAGCATCAGCTGGAGTTCTGTGTTGAGTAGAAGAGAGACATGGAGCTCCTGGAGCAAGTTGTGGTGCCTGGGAGCAGTTCCAGTAGGCTGGGAGAGAACTCATGCCCCTCATTGTGAAGAAGATCTGGAGGTGCATTCTTAGAAAGTAGAGGCTGTTGAGCCTGACCTCATTCCCACAGAAGGTGACAGAAGAAACCTTCCTGGAGAGCAGTGCCATGCCCTGCAGGGTCAGGGTGACAGGCTATGGATTTAGGTGTGGATTTTGGGAATGGAAATTGTCCTTGACCAACCTCTGTGTCTTCCCTGTAGAAACCACTGGTTGTTGGCATAGGTTAGAGCAGTGTCTATTGTTGAGCTGTCCTTGAAGGAAGCCTTTGTCGCTGTCTCCCATTACACGCTCCTTGTAAGCAGAGAAAGTCTGGGTTGTGAAAGAGCCCAGTGAGGAGGACTGCAAAGTGGCTGAAGGGCTGGGCCCAGAGGCTTGTGGTCTGTGGCAGGAAAAAGGGTTCTGGACTCAAGGGAAAAAAGGTGAAATTCCATGGGCAAAGAAGGAAATCCTTTTTCAGTGTAAGGAAAGTCAATGAGTGGAAGAGGTTGTGAAGTCTCCAAGGTGGAAGCTACTGACAACCCAACTGTCCATGTCTAAGACAAGCTGCTGTAGCTGGACACTCTAGCTACTAACTCTAACTTGAGTTAGTCAAGTGTGTGCTGGTAGTCAAGGTATGCAGAGGGGAGCGTTACCACATCAAATCATTTCTTTGAGCCAGTGGATGGGCATGTGTCATGTTCTGGAAGGCCTCCACCTGCCACTGTATATTGTTGCTGGGTGTCCTGCCATTTATCCTAGGAGATGACTAGTGGCCCTTTTCCACCACACCTAATGGCCTGTAGAGACCTGACTTTTGATGGGTGAAGGTGGATGATCCTTGGTAAAAGAAAGGAAAAGGAGGCTTTTCAGACTGGGATGCAGGAGGACTTTATTGAGGAAACAGGGTTGAGAAGTCAGAATCACCAAGTGGAAGAAAGAGGATCTGATGTGCAAGTAGAGTGGCCATCGGTCAAGGTCTTCTGCTTGCAGAAGACTATGCCAGAGTATCAAGGCCTTCCTACTTTGCAGAAGGAGCAGATCCCTGAAGATTCCCCCAGTGTTTTCTGCCCTTTGAGAAGTTTTTAATAGCAGAAAGTACTGAACATCACCAAAGGAATGATGCACAGAAGGAAGTGTAAAAAGAGGAGGATCTATGCGATATGATGCAAAGAGGCTGGTCTGGCCCCCAGCCCTGCTTCCTCTCCTGGTACCTTGAGATTAGAAGCTGCTGTGGGCAGGCCCACTCATCAAAACCAGCAGAGACATGCATCTTCAGTCCATGTCTTTGCTTCTCGAATGTATGTGAGGGGTTTCAGGCACCTTGTGAGGGGCCCTTAGCAGATGTTGTATCCCCTTCCTCTGCCGTAGCAGCCCAGGCCTCCAAAGCCGTAGCCAAGGCCGTAGCCGAAGCCCCCAGAGGAGACGGGCACTCCCTGGGCGCTGAGGACGTTGCCCACGGCAGCGGATGAGGAGGATCCGACGGCGGTGCTCTGGGGGAAGGAGCTGAGGATGGGTCCTGGCAGGGTGACCAGCACGGCGGGAGGCTGGATGACGACGCGGGAGTCCTCGCACTGCCTGACACAGGGCTCGTTGCAGCTGTTGGCCAGCAGGGTGGGTCCGCAGGGGCGGCAGAGGTCGTAGCAGGCCATGTCTGTGGTGTGGAGGGGCCCTGGCAGAGGGGAGGAAAGGAGAGGAGAGAAGAGAGGGTGTGGGGAGAGCAGAGGGCATGGGAGTGCGAGGGGCGGTGGTGCAGGAGGGCGAGGCAGTGGGGAGGCTGGTGGGCTGTGGTGCTGGGGAGGCGTGAGGGGTGCTGAGGCTGGGGCAGAGCATGCTGGAAGAGGCGGGGCAGGGGGGCAGGAGCAGAGGGCAAGGGGCTTGAGGCTCACCTTGTTGAGCGCGCAGGAGAAGGCGTCAGCAGAGGCGAGTGAGGGACAGGCTCTGGGCCGGCTTTTATGCTGGTCCCCGAGGGGCGGGACAGCCTTTGCGCATGGCAGCATTTGTCAGCAAGCAGCTGGTGCGTGCCACAGCCTGGCAAGACATGAGCTGGGGCGTGTTCTCCTTCCCACAGTGCTCCCTTTGCATGTCCTCCTGGTGAGGACGTGTCCATCCGGCCCTGGCGGCAGCCTTGAAGTCAGAGTAGGTGTCTGGGACGATCTGCATGGAAGATGCCTGTCAGGCTGTTCTGCAGATACAGCCATGGCCTTGGAGACGTGGGGTGTCATCACTGCGGTCATTCCGTGGCACTTGTGTGTTGTGGTTTTTGGTGCCTTGTGAAGAGGTGGCTCCATGTTCATTGCGGCCCTGTCGGGCTGGTCTGGGCTCTGGAGTTTTGGTGGCATGAGGGGCTGCCTCTTCCATCCCGTTTGTTCCCTCCCTGCCTTGTTGCTAAGTACCTTATCTTGTCTTTAGGCCTGTCCTTTCGCAT